GCTTCTAAACATAGGTGCAGCCTTAGAGAAAACAAATGTTATCGGGAGCACATGGGCTTTTCATTCCAGAAACAATTTTTATTGTCCTTTGGAAAATTTGTGCATCTGACATGTCAGGAAAGCTGGGTCCTGATCTCTGATCTTCACACTGAGTAACTGAGAATTTTGATAATGCTTCCCCATCTATGAAATAAGCAGTTTGATAAACATAACTGGATCAGCCATGCATTAAATCAGGCTGCAGTAGCAAACAACTCCTAACATCCTTCAGGGGTTGATAGGCTCTATTCCTAAGAATGAGGAACAAAATATTGGGGCGCCTAGATGGCTCAGTTGGTTAAGTGTCTGCCTTCAGCTCAGGTCATGATCTCAGGGTCCTGGGATGGAGTCCCACTCTCTGTTCAGTGGGGAGTCTGCTCCTCCCTTGCCCTCCGCCCCTTCCCCAGCTTGTGCTTTCTCTCTCCATCACTGTCTCTCTCAAATAAATAAATAAAATCTTAAAAAAAAAAAAAACACAAAATATCACCCAAGTGTCATCTGGTATGAAATAACATTCTCAAAGACACTTTCTCTCAAGGGGCCAACATGCCTACTGTCTCCACCTTGCCACTCTGCTATAAAATTCTTCTTTGGCTTCTGAAGAGCTGGATGCTGACAACATCTGGTATTTGGTCAAGACTTTCCTCTGATGGATGAAGTTGTTCACTACAGCAATGCAGGAAGTGATCCACTGGACGGTGTAGCCTAATAGTTAAAAGAATTACTACTCATTCACCATGTGACTTGTTTTATTTTTTGTTTTTGCAGCTCTTTAATTTTTCTTATTAAAGTAAATGTGTATTATTTGTACAGTTTTCTTCTGATTTTTATTTAAATTTTAGTTAGTTAACATACAGTGCAATGTTGGCTTCAGGAAAACCATGTGACTTTGGCACATTATTCGACCTCTCTGTGTTGTTCCAAGGACTAAATGATTTAATGAATGAAGAGTGCTTGGAACAATATTAACCAGCACAGAGCAAGGACTCAGCTAACATTAGCTATTACTAACAGGAATTCAGCTGTTGTTAAAAGAGTTCCCCAATCCCACAGGACTGTAGAAATCTATTGCAAATAATAGGTCTTATAGCTGGAGGCTTTCTTCGAACATTTAAATCAACTATTGCTTTTCAAGTCAACTCCAACTCAAGCTGTCAGTTTACAAATAGAATGTCATATAATTTCACAATGAAACATGATTCTTTTTTTTTTGAAACATGATTCTTAAAATAGAGAATGTGTTTGCTAATAAGATATCTTGAAGAAAAAAATAAGTAATCAACACACATTAACGAACAGAGAGAGAAAAGAAGTAAGAAGGACAGCTTTAATAGCCTGGACAATTTAAGCTTTATGTAAATTTCACATGTAAGGAAGCATCATCAGTTATAAGACAAGAGCTGAAATACCATTTTAAAGTAGCCTGGGTCATGACGGTAGCATTGTTCGTAAAGCAAAAACCAGGGAATGATACAAAAGTCCTTCAATAAAAATGTGTTAAATAAATTATGCTCACATCCTTGTGATGGAATTTTAAGCAGTTATTTTTCAGTGAGGTAGAACTGTATGTGCTGATATGGAAAATTTCCAAGAGATATTATTAAGCAAAACATAGTTCAAAACAGTATGTATAATATGAAAAGAATATGCTTTATATATGGATATAAGTCCTTAAAACTTTTTGGGGGCAGGTCTGAAGAAACTATTAACAAGGTTAACTTTGGGCAGTGAAACTGGCATTCAGGAAGTGAGGAGAAAAAGACTATTTTATGCATCTCTGTATTCAAATTTTTACCATCTGGATGTATAGTTTAATTTTTTTTTAAGATTTAGGGCGCCTGGGTGGCTCAGTCATTAAGCATCTGCCTTCGGCTCAGGTCACGATCCCGGGGTCCTGGGATCGAGCCCCGCTGTGGGCTCCCTGCGCAGCGGGAAGCCTGCTTCTCCCTCTCCCACTCCCCCTGCTCGTGTTCCTTCTCTCGCTTTGTCTCTGTCAAATGAATGAATAAAATCTTTAAGAAAAAAGATTTATTCATTTATTTTACAAAGAGGGAGAGAGAGAGAAAGAGAGCCAGAGGATGAGCAAAGGGGGAGGGAGAGGGACAAGGAGATTCCCCGCTGAGCTCAGAGCCTTATTCCCTGGACCCCGAGATCATGACCTGCGCCAAAGGCAGATGCTTAATCAGCTGAGCGACCTAGGTTCCTCCCCACCCCCCCCCGTATGGTTTAATTTTTAAGTATACAGTTTAAATAGGAAACAAAGAAGACTTAATTGCATAACAGGCATTGATCCTCTGCATTGACAAATCACCCTTGCTGTTGCTTTCCTTGGCCCGATCGCCAGTCCTCTTGGCTGCTGAGTGTTCATGACATTGAGTTCCAATGCTGGCTGTGTCTTCACACTTTTCTCCTCTCAGCTTAATTCTGCTGAGCTATGCCCCTCTCAGCCTCTCCCATTAACGTCTTTTAATAGGTCTTCGCCACCAGCCACAACCCTCTCCTGGTTTCCAGCTAAACCTGTAGCAGGTCAGGAACAGGGGCTGCCCAACTGCGATCACAAAGTGAGTAGCAGATGAAGTGCATGGACCTGATGCAGCTGGAAACCTCTTTCTCTTGTCATTTCTTCCTGCCCAAATGCTACCCATTCTTCAAGACTTCACTCCAGGGACAACTTCTCTAGAAAGCCTGCGCTGAACTGCCCATCAGAGTGAACCCCTCTCTCACCAGTGTTATTTTACACTCTGTTTTTACCTGAAGTATATTTAGCACATTTTGATTTGTATTTCAGTTATTTGTGCCTGAGTCTATGGGGTGGTGTTCCAACATCTTTGTGTTTTTGAAAGTGCCTAGATAGAGCCTTGTCCTCAGTGAATGTATAGTTATATATTAGTGAGCCTGATTTCTATTAAATCGAAGGTGAAAACAAGGGTACAACCTAAAAAAAAATGCAAGACTTTCAGCCCTTGGTGATAGTCACGGGTTCCACTGGCAAATCCACTGTGACTGAGAAAAAACTGAGATTCAGTGTCCTGCCAAAGAAGACAAGCCGCAAAAGATGCTAAATGAGCATTAAAGAACATCAATAAATTAGTGTCTTTGCTGTAAGTCCTCAGTTTTCTAGACACTTACCCCAAGTTATTTCCATAGTTCCAGAGGACGACACTCAAAGAATCCACATATCTCCCAGCCTTAATGTGTAGTTGTTTGTACATGAATTGAGAGTGAGCACTCTTATGACTAGTTAGCAACAGGACAGGGAGAGTAGAGAGCCTCTGTAAGAAGAATTTAGAAGCAACTGCCCCCCGGCACCATGACTTCTCATTACTGGATGTGACAACCCTATGGAGATTAGGAAGTAGCTTACCTTAAGACAAAGATGCCATCATCAAGGCAATTTTAAAAAACCTATGTCTGGTAAGACTATGCTGTTCGAGAGGAGAAGGTGCAGAGTGTTTGAGGGGGCAAGGAACTGACCACGGAGCTTCCTCAAAGTGCCTACATCTTGGAGCAGAACGAAGGTGAATATTGAAACAAAGTCACTTCTCGAAATGCAAAGGCACCAAGAAAGGACATGTGTGTGGATATACACACGCATATGGAAGATCAGGCAGAAGTATGGTGTGCGTATGAGAAATCGGAGGATAGGAAAACACCTGGTTTGTGCTGGAAGGAGTCGATGGATTATGTGTTGCAGATACAATGGCAAATACACAAGATAAGAAGTTAAAAAAAAAAAGACTAGAAATCCAGTCCAGTTCTGTCCCAGCAGACCAAAACTGTAGGTAAGTCACTTAACCTTTCTGAACACCAAGGTCCTAATCTATGACATGGGGGTAAATAAGCCTCTTCTGCCTAAATGGCGTCATGAAGACTCCACTACCCGAAAGATATCGACCTGAGCCCTCCTTATAAAGCGCTGAACTCACTTCCAGAACTTTCCCGTCATGGAAATGATGGAAGCTTCCACATGTAAAAACCAAGAGATTCCTTTTTAACTGTCAGACTCCTCACACCCAGAACACAAGATCCATGATATAGATGGAAGAAAATTCAGACTTAATACCAATCACATCATTTTAAATGAATCTATAATTTTTTAAATGATACATAATCAACCAACCTTTATTGTAGTAAAAACAAATATCCTACTTCTTTCCTGCATTATATATTGTTATGGGGGGAAACACCGATGCTTTTATTAAGGATGTCATCACATAAAACTTTTAGGGCAAATTACTTTGTTTCACTGCTGAAGGTGCATGTCAGAAAAGAGCAACAAGGAGTTCTACTTGAATGAAAGCACATGCACAAGAAAGAGCCAGCACAGGCAGATCTCAAGCACGTACTTACTCCAAATATAAAGATGAGACGAATGAGTCCCAACATATACAGGTGTAACTTAAGCATATTCAACACTACACCCTCGGATAAAAGAAAGAGAGGAGAAATGAACAAGTGACAATGAGAGAAGCATGTACTTCTACTGTTACTTTCCTTCAATCTAGAACTTAGCCTCCAGCACCATGGCCAAGTGTAAAACGAAGCAGAAGAATTTAAATTCTAGGTTTGAAGCTTCCAACGGCTCAGTATCTGGTGAGTCAAGAGGTTTTCACGGATTGTTTGGACCTTATGTATTTTTCTTTTCTGGGATGAGCTGCTTATGAAAACAAATGGCTGAAACAGCCATAACATTTAGTCTAAAAATGCCCTAATGCTCCAGGTTTCTGTGCCAGATACTACAGAAGACACCAGTATCCAGGACTTGCAAGTGTCAGAAAATCCCATTCCTGGCAAAGAAAAAGACATCCAAACAAAGGAAACACACACACACACACACACACGCACACCATGCACACACACAGATATTTTCACAATGACAGGTTCAGAAATAGAATGAAGCAGACTTAGAAGAAAAGACAAGCCAGATCATCTTAATCAATGAAGAAGAGAATCCCACCTACCTGGTGACTGCCCGGGTGCAGATGGTAACAAGGAAACAGCCAGCCACGATCATCCAGCCCCAGCCTCCATCGGGAGGAGAGGTAGACCGAACTCTAGTTCCTTTTTCCATGGCTTCAGTTATTTTTTCTTTCTCGGGTTACTCCAATAGCCCAGTTCTGATCCTGGAAGAGGTTTGCTGTCCAGTGACTTCTTCTTGGCATTCAAGATTGGCATGGAATGTTACCTGGCACATAGGTTATTGGCCATCTAAAACCAAAAATCAGGATATATTTATATTTTATTTTCATACCCAAAGGTTGATTTTTCACTTGACAAAAATGATCATTACTTTCCTGTTAAATATGATTATTTGTAACTATGAATGCTGGACTGAGGCAAAGACCATTTGTTGTTCTTGGTACCCATTCTTCTTCTTTTTATTAAGAGATCCTCCCCAAATTTAGCCAAATCCATGTCCACCCAGTTTGATACCATATTTCCTAGCTTCTCTTGAAGGTAGATGTGGCTTCTCTTGTGGTAGATTTAGTCTAAATAAAAGGGATGGAGGAAAAAGTGATGCACCATTTCTAGTTCATGAGCTCAAAGGCAAAGGCACTTTCCTAGGACTTCCACCACCCCCTTTCCCATAGACGAGCATGGCTGTGGGGGTGAGACAGCTTCACCCACAGCGACCAGGACGGCTCCCTGGGGGCTGGCAGAGCTACAGGGTAGAAGGAGCCTGGGTCCCCACATGACGGTGGAGAAGGGCTGCCTCTCCAGCTCTGGACTTCACAGACCTCTACACCATGACACAAAATACCAAAAAGCTTCCGTTTTATTTGAGCCTCCGTGTTTTGGAGTCTCTCTGTTAGCACAGCTTAGACCATGTCCTACTTATAACACCAAATGAGTCTGATAGTAACTTCTTTGGCATTTCTGACTAGCAATGCTATAATTTTTATTTTTATAAAATTTTTTCTTCAATGCTATTATTTTTTAAGTGTGTAATTAAGGCAAGAAGAGAATGACAAATAAATGAACCAGAATAGAGAGCCCAGCAGCAAGTCCATAATAATTCAATATAACTAAATAAGGTAGCAGAGATTGGTGGAGATAAAAGGATTACCCACTATATCACGTTACAACTCTCCCTCTAGTTCTTAACCTTCTAGATAGGTCAGTGTTAAATGCAAAAAAAAAAAAAATCATTAAAAACCTAGGTGAAAATATAGGCAAATATTTATGTGATATCTAGATAGAAGAAGGACTCCCTGAGACGTAAATGTACAAACCCAGATGTAATGTAACAAACGCAGAGGAAATTTTGGTTGATTTGTCTAAATTAAAATTTAACATTTCTACATATCACAAGATGTAATAAATAAAGCCAAATGATAAACCATAGACTTGCAAAAAAAAAAATTAGCAATACATGGTTCAAAGAAGTAATATCTGCAACATTAATTCATTCAACTACCAACACTTACTGAGTGCCTACTGGGGGCCAGGCAGTATTTCAGGGCACCGGGATTTCTTACAGTAGGCAGACTCTAAGGTACTCCTATCCCGCATCCTGTTGTTCTTTGTTTTTTAAAGATTTATTTATTTATTTATCTGACAGAGAGAGAGAGAGAGAGAGCATGCACAAGTGGGAGGGGGTGGGGCAGAGGGAGGGGGAGAAGCAGACTCCCCGCTGAGCAAGGAGCCCGATGTGGGGCTCGATCCCAGGACCCTGAGATCATGACCTGAGCTGAAGGCAGACGCTCAACCAGCTGAGCCACCCGTGCCTCCTGTTGTTCTTGACTGTATATAATCCCTCCCCTTGAGTGCGGGTGGGACCTGCAACTTGCTACTAACCAGAGTAGGGCACAGGTGACAGGACGTGAATCTCATGATTATTATATCATGTTATGTAAGACTCAGTCTTGCTAGAAAACCTGCTCTCACTCTCCTGGTGGCCTTGAAGAACAAGCTGCCATATTGCACACTGCCTATGGAGGGGGCCACACGGAAGGGGCTGTGGGCAGCTTGTGGGAGCCAAGGACAGCCTCCAGGAGATAGCAAAAAGCTGAAGTTCTCAGTCCTACAACAAAAAGGAAACAAATTCTTCCACAACATCCCAAGTGAGCTTGGAAGCAGATTTGTTCCTGGTAAGCCTCCAGTTGAGAACACAGCTTGGCCGACATTTTGACCGTAGCCTGTGACACGCTGAGCCGATAACCCTGTTAAGCCATCCTGGATTCTGGCCCCACAGGAACTGTGATATAAGGTGCTTCTTAAAGTATTCTTTAGCATGTCAAACAGGCGTCTGAATTATAGTTAGGGATGAATTGTTTGAGAGACAAAAATAAGAGTTTGACAGATCCTTTTTCCACTGGATGGAGCAAATTACTCAGTTGTTGGTATAATTTGATTATGATCACCAGACGAAATCCAAGGTAATATTAATTCAATGAAACATCATTTCAAATATGACAAAGCATACATTATTTGGAACACAGCCTATGTACCACTTGGTAAATTATGGGCAAACCAAATGAATACAAAATTTTTTAAATATTTTTAAGGATTTTATTTATTCATTTGAGAGAGAGACAGAGAGAGCACAAGCAGGAGGAGAAGCAGAGGGAGAGGGAGAAGCAGGCTCTCTGCCGAGCAGGGAACCCGATGCGGGGCTTGATCCCAGGACCTGGAGATCATGACCCGAGCCAAAGACAGATGCCCAACCGACTGAGCCCCACGAATACAATTTTTTTTTTTAAAGAAAAGGCTCACAGTCGAATCTTGCAATCTTTAAAGCCACCAGAACAAACTGGCAGCCTGTGAGTTCAGAGAGCAAATACAGAGCAAAGATAGTGAATGGGATTCTTGCCTCATAAGAGAGGCCCCGAGAGCTCCTTTACCCCTTCCGCCACATGAGGACACATCATAAAGAAGGCTGTCTAGGAGAAAGGAGATGGGCTCTCACCCAATACAATTCTGCCAGCACCTTGATCTTGAACTTCCCAACCTCCAGAACTGTGAGAAATAAAGGTTTGCTATCCAAGCCATTTAGTCAAGAGTAGTTTCGTTATAGTAGCCCAAATGGACTAACACACCTAAAACTTTAAATCTCCCAATTCTCCTGAGAAATTGTAAGTGCTAGAGATACCGGTCAGGCATTCCTTTGTGGCAGCTATCAGAGGGAGTGAAGGAGAAGCACATTCCTGGATAAGGCCTGTATTCCCCACTTCACCCTGTCCCTGACCTCCTGTCCTGTCCTAGCCCGCAGTCTCACTCACACACAACACCTGACAGGCCCCTGCAAGCAACAGCTTCTCTACTTTTGCTGATACCACGTTACCGTAAGTCAGAGTTTCTTGAACGGCCAGATGTGAGGCACATTCATGGGATGCTTTACGTCTTGCGCTCCCTCTCACAATTTCAATGTGACCAGCCTTCAAAGTTCTACCCACATCTGCATGCACGTGCACACACGCGTGCGCACACGCACACACACACACACAAATAACTCACTGCTTAGACATAAATAGGTGCCAGGTGTCACGAAATGGTAGAATCAATTGTACAAGTAAAACAGCCAAAGCTCAGAAACCTCTGCCTTGGTTTAGTTCTAGCCTCTTCATAGTTTTTCCTTTAAAATAACCCCAAGGTTAAGCTGTTTTCCAATTGAAGACTGTAAATCCACCAACATATAAATGTCCAGTATCTGGACCATCCTCAGTCAGTGCTGCCCAGTGTTGTTCAGGAATGCTGAAACAGGGGCACCTGGGTGGCTCAGTCGGTTAAGCATCTGCCTTCGGCTCAGGTCATGATTTCAGGGTCCCGGGATTGAGTCCCCCATGGGGATCCCTGCTCAGTGGGGAGCCTGCTTCTCCCTCTGCCTCGCCACTCCCCCTGCTTGTGCTCTTTCCCTCTGTGTCAAATAAATAAAATCTTAAAAAAAAAAAAAAGAATGCTGAAACAGGCAGTGAAATGTACTGCTATAGATCAAGAATTAGAAAGTTTTTCAAATTCTTTGAATAGTAATCTCATTGCTGGGAAGTTATCCTGAGAAAACAATTTAAGAGAAGATGGACACTAGGGGTGGAAAATAATAGTTGCATTATGAATAATATATAAAACAGAGACAACTTAAGTGCTCAACAACTGGGAAGTGTTTCAAGAGTTATGACACATGAACAAATGGAACAGTATCCAATCTTTTAAAACCATAAACAAGAAGATAATATTGTAATATGGGAAAACATCTATGATGTCATGTTAAGGCGAAAAGAAGTCTCTAAAACTGTGTGCACATTGTGAGGAGAAACTAGGTAAAACTTATGTAGAAGTTGTATATTTGCAACTATCGCAAAGAATAGAAGGACATGCAAAAAAGGTATACAGTTGCAAAGATGATGCAAAAAGGTATACAGCTGGTATAATTGTTAGGAATCATTTTCAAAATTGTATCCCATTTTATATGTAGTTTTCTTAGATAGTTCAGGCCTACTCCTGTGATGAAAATATGAGCACAGACATTTCCTTCGTATAGTGTCTCAAGGACTAGAAAGAACCGTATCACTTATTGAAACAACACAGTGAAAATTAGATGATTGTTCAGTAGAGGACGTGATGTACGTAACAAGCCCCCAGCAAAATGAAATGTTCCGTCTCGTTACAAAAATCTTAAGCATCATCAACTTTTCCTTTGCCTCTTGTGTCTCCAGATGATTCCATTTTCATTTGTTTTAGTTGAGCAACTGCTCTTTGGCATTCCCACATTTTATGAGTTAAGAACCAATTTGTGTGGATCTCTCAAAAAAATTCAATTGCAAGAATCCAAATGAGCGAGGTGAGTAACACACCCAAGCAGTGCTGGGCTGACAGCACCATGAACAGAGGTCTGTTGTAAGTTAAAGTTGACCTGGGTAAAACCACAGAACTGGGAACGTTCTCACAGGGTTCCAGGGTGGGGAGAAGTAGCTTTGAAAGCATCGGTAGGCGGTACCATGATTCATAATTCCTCATGAGCAGGCCCACTTGAGCCTCACAAGCCTCAGAGACGGGCGCTGTTTCCTCCTGTTCATGAGGATGAAGCTGAAGCCCAGAGGAGTGAAGAGACTCACCTGGCAGTGCTACATGGACATACAGGTGGAGACGAGAGACCCTGGCAGATTTTGGACAGTGCCCTTGCCCATCCACCCTCCAAGATTTCCAAATGGCTATTGGGCACTGCTGTCAACAAGCCATACAAACAATGGTAAAGCTTGAACACCCATTCG